ATTTGATATACTGTATTTGTATACTGTATTTGCGCTACCCATCCACGGAATTGCATCAACATTTTAGAGGTTAGGTCGTGTAACCCGTAAGCGGCACTAAATAGCATAAATATCTCTATATGTTCATATACTTTTCATATATGTCTCGGTGCAATGACATGGTTTCATTATAGTTAACTCTGGCCCTATTGGGAAAATAACATGACAAAACACACCAAACTCAAAAGTAGCATGTCAACAGTGCAGTCGAATCCAGTTGATCACGAACGCTGACTCTCAGTTCAGTTTGGACATTTCAATGTTAATCAATACAATAATTCGGGGGCTAAACATGTCCATGGTCGAAAGCAAACGTGTACTGCGTGCAAAAAGATGTAAAAAAAAAAAATCAAATGTTGAGTGAGTGTTGCAACACAGTGCACAGATGGACAAACACGATTTGCAGCAAAAGCTAATCTGGGATTCTGTACTGAGGAAAAACAAAAAGTATTCAGTTGGACCAATTCAAAATTACGTCATAATTGTGTGTTTGCATACAGACATACATACTGCAGATATCAGGGTACATTTGCCAACCCATCTTTTGGTGTACTGGCACAATCTAGTGAGATCTCTAATTCAACATCTGTACATCAAAAAAACCTACCAAAGAATGATATTTTCACACATCAGTGGGTGTCAAAAGATGTTATTCTTCCACATGTTTTAAAATGAAAGTGATGTCATTGTCATTATAAATGTACCACGTGTCAAATGAGATCGCTCCGATGCCATCCTCTTTCTGTTGTGATCCCCAGGGGGCATGTTTGCATAGTACAGCATCTGGAGATTGCCTGAATATTCTGTGATGTAGAGTATTAACCAAGTCCTCATTCGGTATCTTTCTTTGCCTGCCCAGTCGATCTATAAATTCTCTCAATTTATTCACCCGCCTTTTGAGAGGTACCGCTCACCTTTTCCCGTCTTACGAAGCCAAATAAGGTCCAGGTACATATGACGCGGAACTCTAATCTTTGTAGAGGTCAGTTGTTTGCTTTTAGATCTCATTAAGACTGCAATCATAACGAAGGTTACGCTCGGTCAACAAGTGCATCGCAAACTGAACACGTCTCTTGATACGCCACTTCATATCCGTGGAAATAATACTGCATAAAATATCAGGAATGCATAAAGCTATATATACAGCTGTCAGTGGTTAGAGTCACAATTTGTTACTTTTTATGTTAATAAGCATCTGGGGGTGGGATGTAAATGCACATTTGGTGACAACGTTTAACAAGCGTCGATCCGTATATCCCTGTCATATATTATTTTTCTCGGGCTGTCATATATCATTGAATGCAAGTCTTGATTATGTTCGACACATATGACTTATTTCCCAGGCATTTCCCGAATATTGAACAGCTTCTTAAATCACCCCCATGATGCAAAAGTGGTTTACAATGATTTTTTTATGCTGTTCTATTTGACTCCGTTTTGTCTGGAAATGAATACGTAGACTCCTACTACTACTCACAGGCTTCTGTGATCCCCTTGGAGGACAGAGACTTTTGACACTTGCTCTCCGAGATGGAATGGTTCATTTCAGTCCTCCGCAATGCATAATTAACCACAGTCAAATAATTTAAAATCCCTGCAGGGGTGGAGTTGCTGAAACCAGTGCCACCTGACACAACATGATGTGACCAAAAAAAAAAAAAAAAAATGTTGGTAAATAATCTAAGTCAGCCATTGATCACTGTAGTCTGACAATATCTTCTATGTTGTATTTATGCTGACCCTGTAGTCACTTATTAAAATATGCTCTGAATGACGCTACCTAGGAACGAACTTTCATGAAGGGATTACATTTGTTACCGAGCTGCAGGTAAAGCAGACTCATCAAATTTGCATGCTGGCAAATGTGGGTAAAAGCACTTTCATAACCTTGTTGGTGTAAATGAACATCACATAAATATGCATTCTTCATTTATGACGGTGTCTCGGGGGCTGTGAGTGGGTCAGCGGCGAGTAAATTGGCTGAACCACAAGAACACAGACACGAAGAGCTGCTTGAGCGGAATACTGCATATAACATTAGGTGAGGCTGCATTTTGAGGACACACATGTACAGATTGCATGAAGTTTTAACTGAGACACTGTAGTTGTTTTTTTTTTTTTTTTGCGACAGTAAGACTCCTTTAAGAGAGAGCATAGCACAGGCTGCTACTGTAATTATTCTTTCATTCACTCCTGAAAATTGTTTCAAAAGATGTCTTGAAATATAGCATGGTGCAACATTTCCAGAAAAACTGATAGTGGATCATAATATGTGTTTAGTATCAACATAAAGGCAACTTTGCTGCTCAGTTCTATTGGTTGAAACAAAAAAAAGTGGAGTACATGAGCAATCTACCGTGTATTTTTCCCCCACTAGGTCTGGCGTCACTACTATGATACAAATTTATAGTCCTTATCTGTATATTTGGCAAGCGCTTGTCTATGACAAAAAAGAAACGTTGTTCAACAAGTACAGAATTCGCATGAGTAAAAACATTGCTTTTTGGATTGGCAGAAAAACACAAGTAACCACTGACAAAGCAGATGAAATTTTGTAAAACTATAAGGAAAAATATACTCAATATTTTTTCCTCTCTCGCTCTCAATATACATTGAATGTATAAAACACCCAATTGTATTAATTTCTATGACAAACAGAAAAAAAAACCCTGGGCTACAGTCTTAGCTAATGATGGCGTTTTGTTATGAATGTGTGAAAAAAGCACAAAAAGATAATCCCCCCCACCCCATTTATGTTGTCCGTATTTTCACCAAGGCACTTGGCTCCCTTTTTAACCAAAACCATAATCAGCAAGCTAGAGCCACTGGATGTGAAAATGCACGGGCTACCGCATGGGATGCGAAAGCAATTCTGGATGATACCACTTTGGCTCTGATGAGATTCAGCTTGAGTTGAAGGCCAGACACCGAAGATTATTAATGATGTTCCTATATGGAACTATACTGGGGCTGCCCCCTGCTCCCAGACCACACTTAAGCAACCATAGAACAACTCCTTGGATGTCTTCGATTGCATCCCCTGCATAATCTAAGCGTATGTGCATGCATGTTATTAATTCCTGTTTTCACCGGGGCGCAACGATGACAACCTGAAACCACGAGCTTGCAAAACAGAGAAAGAGAAAACAGTTTTCACTATTTTACAAAATGACAAGCAGTCAAGATACAGCGATGGACTACTTTGTTACTCACAACAGGAAACAGGGCCAGAGCTACTGTAAACGAGAGAAGAAAACAAATGTAACACCAACCTCTTTGACGCAGAGATTGCATAACATCGCAGTAGAAATGAGTCTGCCGCAACGCCGCTTTGCTTGTTTACACGGAACGGAACAAAGCTAGCGTGATGCCACACCAGTGGGGGGGCTTTAGATTGCGTACTGTATATTTCCACTCATTCCACTTGTCCTTTGTAGAATTTTACACAGACCGAGAGGTATTGTTCCTTCCCTTTTTGTTGGCATCGTGCCTCTTTCTCTTGGAAACACATTAACAGCAAATTAGTGAACTGTGTAAAAGAGGGTATCGTGAAAATAACAGCCAAGGTAGCTTCATGTGAGCATTTGCCCCAACGTGTTCATGGACGAGCAAAATATCACAACACAAACACAGAATGTGCACTCACAGGAATGTTAATTCTCAATCTTAAAAATGCTGCCTTTACAGAGATATCTACTAGTATGCCCGTATGTTAGTTAGCATGCTAATTTCTGGTAGTTAGGATGGGAATTCCCACTTCATGGCAGTGACGTGACACTGTACAAATAATGGGCAGTGACATTTTTTTTCCTGGATGCCCCAGAAGATGGCTCCATTCGATGACATATTGACTGAGTACTGTTCAAACAAAACTGGTCAGCATCAAAATGTTTCATGATGCTGTAGAGTTTGTGTAGCAACACTCCATAAAACAAAACAGAACATTTTGTGCAGGTTTTTTGGGGGGGTCATAATGGCGCTAACGAACTCATCAAGAAATTACAATCAGAACCATACTAAAAGCCTTCATGCTTGTCGGAGGCAATTAGGTCAATTTGAATTGACAACATCAGAGGTGATAGCACACACCAACATGTCGGCAATTACTGTTTGCTGTGATGCAAAATAGATGTTTTTTTTTTTTCTCAAAGCCAATTCTAGACCAAGTCTGAAAAGACGTTTAAAAACGTCTTTGGGAGTGAATGAGTTAAGATACATGAGAGAAATGATATAAGATAAGATAACCTTTATTTGTCCCACACTGGGGAAATTTGCAGTCTACAGCAGCAAAATTGGGGGAAACAATTTGAGCATGTTGCCACCACTACAAACCTTTGCACAATTATCTTCATAACCACCACCCTCAATTGCAAGATTATCTTCGTAAAGGCAGCTCCTCTATTGGATTTGATGAGATTAAACACACACACACACACACACACACACACACACACACACACACTCTATATAATACAGTATATATATATATATATATATATATTGTGTGTGTGTGTATACACATATATAAAGTGGTACCTTGACTTATGAGTTCAATACATTCCGTGACCAAGCTTGCACCTGAATTGACTTGCATCTTGTATTTGACATGAATTTTAAATGAAAATCACATTTTGTTTTGAACGTGATATTAATAAAGCACGTTAATTAACCCCCGTATGGGATAAAATAATAAAAATACAAGGCAAGTAAACAAACTCGCTTTATGAAGTGTAATTACTGTACGCACTGCAGTATTCGTGTGTCGAATGCGGCCTTGAAGGGAAACGGCCTCGTGAGTGACGTCAGGAGCCAGAGTCAGTTTTGAAAATGAGACATTTTGTATTTGTATGTTCAATTTTTATGTTCAATAAATGACAGAAAGTGACTGTGCCCCCCTCCCCCCTTGCTCACATATGTAAGCTTTGCGGGCATTACTGTACCTCAAATGTTCTATTTTTTTAATTCCCACTTCACTTGAGTGACAGTGTGTTTGAAGCTCACATATCGTGGAAATTTTGACACTCAACACAAAGCAAAATAAACAAACAAAAACATAAATCAACCAAGCCACATTCCAACCTGGAACCCCTCTTAAGTGAGGGCACTCGCAAATTAGGTACCACTGTATGCATACGCACACGCACACGTACACGTTAAGATTTTCATGGCTTCCATCAAACCTTTCTCCTTCCTTGACAAACCCATTCAAGATTGATTTTGGATCAAATTCAGTTGGGGTTGTTTGCCTCTATGATGGCCGGCTTCCTGTTCACGTATGTGGCCCAGTAGCCCAAGTTGAAGATGAAGAAAAGGATGGGGAAAATGATGCGCGATATCTTGTCCACTTTGCTGACTCGGTTGTAAGACTTCTTGGCTTCTGTGTAGGGATCATCCATTTTATGGAGATAGGAGTGTTTGGCCGATGCCCCGGTAGCGGCACTCTTAGAAATGGTTGTTAAACCTTGGTCTTTTGCTACGTTGATGGCGTAGGTTGTTCCAACAATGTTGAAAGTGTTGTTTGCCTTTTTGGAGAGACTTGCAGATTCTCTTCTCTGAAAAGAAGAGAAAGCAGCAATAGTTGTCAGGAGAAAAGGCAGCGGACTCCACAATACTTCCATTTGAACTCATAAAGAGGAAATAGAAGCAACACCACGAGACACGACACACACAAGAGCAAAACAAAAGCCTAACCATATCGTTAATCCTGGCCATGTTAGCCTGAAACGGTTCCTGAAAAGAAAAGTAGAAAAGAAAAAAAGTTTACCAATTATATTAAAAGTTACCCAAATGACATGCTCTATTCATCAATCTAGCTTGTACATTTTCCACGATTGTCCATTAAATCTGCATCACACAAGGTTTGATTGCAGAAAAAAAAGAGAGGTCATGACCATATTATTCAGCTGTGAAATGGTTTAAAAAGTGCTTCCATTGGGAAAAAAAAACAAAAAAAAAAACGCTTGCATCACTTGTACTGGGTCGGCCGGCGTGTGACTTTGCTGTCAGCTGCAGCATAGAGCGTTGAAAAAAAAGGAGGAATGGGGGCGGGGGGATAACAATGCCTGTAGTCATGTCTGACAAATCAATGAACGCAGCTAGGCCTCTTCAGGCAAACAACTCACGATAAAACAAACATGGCACAGGCTATATGAGAGAAGAAGCTGACATCTTTGTACTTGTACGGAGAAACCATTACACTCTCTGTTGAAAGAAAGCTTCAGACTGTCATGATGAATTTGCACACGGATACACTTATTTACCAAACCTTTAGCATAGGATGATTTCATCATCCTTGCAGCCCTAAAAAGGGGCTGCACACACCGTCGGGGGGGGGGGGCAAGTAGGGCAGCAAGATTGATGGCGGCGCAAGTTTTACTTTTCTATAGTGAATACAGTGGGTGTGTGTGTGTGTGTGTGTGTGTGTGTGTGTGTGTGTGTGCTTGTGCATGTGTGTGTGTGTGTGTGAGGCTGTAACTGAGTCTCAGGATATCCTCGCACCTCACACCCATGAGAATTTCAATTGAAGAACATCTTATTTGTGCCTTAACATTGAAAAAAATCTCAGCCCTGCTGAATGTACGTCCTTCTCCAGTGACGTGCGTTGCAAGTCACCAAGGGCATCACACCGACATCATTACAGTTACAGCTGAGTGTTTATGTCTCGCATGCTAACTGTTAACACTGGTTAACTGCTTTTATGCAGCAACATGAGAAAGTTCACATTTTACAAGAATCAAAACATCGCCTGTCCAGTTCATGCAAGTTATACAATGGACACAAGCTGGCCTGAACCAATCGGAGGTCAAACAACGACCTTGAATTGGATCGTGTTCTACCACAGTTCCACTGTACTGTGTGTCATATGAATTATGCTATGCAATAAAGAACATTTACAACTTTCTTGATGACCATGTACTAAATATTAAATATTTACAACATGGCAGATGTGCAACACTCTATGTAGGGTTACAGCACATTCCGATGCAACTATTTCATGTTAAGTACATGCATTAACGGTAAATTTGCTAGTACTGTATGGAGTGTTCAAGGCATAACAGATGGCATCCAAAAAAGAGAAACAAAAGTCCCATAAAATAAGGTGGCCATTCAATCCACACCTTTACTCCCCACTCTTGCCATTTGTGAAGAAAGTCCCTGGTACATTGGTGTTTCAGTGCTCCCTATTTTTGTCTCCTTTGAGGCCACAGCTTTAATTTTTGCTCTACTTTTTCAGCTTCATTTGACTTTCCTTCCCTCCCACCCCCTCTCCTTCCTTCACTCCATCTTTTTCATTAGCATAACTGATGTCCCCTGCTTCCGCTGCCGATTGCTTCATGGCGCATCTCTTTATGCGGTTCTCATCACTGAATGTTTTGTTCCGACCTAATATTCGTATAGACTCAAAAGATTTAATCTTGAAAAGCCACAATGCGGCCACGACGATACGCCACAAAGTTTCACCATCATGTATAAAACTGAAGCCCCTTTTCTACCAACAATAAAGTTCTTTACACAATATTTGCATTCCCATTGCTGAAAAATATAAAGGGTACCGCAACAACTGACCTGTAAGGTATGCATTCAGCCCACCCTTCTGTCAGTGTGAGTGCAGCGTACTTAGAGTCAGGTAATGGGGCGGTGCTTAACATAATAATCATGACACAGCTATTGAAATCCACACGATGGGGTTTACTATTCTAAACTGTACTCCGAAATCAACCGGGAGGGGAATAAAAAATAGACCGCTTTCGAATGGCTGTTGTGACAATCCTATCAGCAGTAGACATCACCATGCCATGAAATTGTTGTTTTCCCTTCACGCTGCCATTGTTTTGACCCTCCACTTTCCTCTGCAAAACTGAAGAACACTGAATACAAGAAAAGTGAGGAGGCCAAAAGGGGTCTAACTCAAGTCAATTTTGGACAAGAAGACAAAAGTCACACCGGTGCCCTCCAGATAACCAATGTCGTTTCCAGGACATTGACTCCACTACACCTAAAAGCACCGCAGTGCCTTTTTTGAGGTGTGGGGGAGTATCACAAAAATGGCTTACTCAGCAGCAAAACTAATGGCACTGAAATATGATACAGTATATGGCTCTATTCGTAGATAACTGAAAGTCTACGGCATTAGAAATGTTCTTTGCACAATAAATTAGCAGACAAGCCACATAGTCCTTTTCCGCTTCTGTAAATCCGGGTTGTCTTCTGCTGTAATTTACTGGATATCTAATCCAGTGTTTTCCAACCATGATTGAATCAAAGCACCCAATTCATCCGAACGAGCTCACAAAAATACCACAAAATTTTGAATCCTGGGAAAACGGTAATCTTGTCGCAGTTTTAGCCACAAACTAACATGTACAGTTGATATACTCGCAATAAGACAGGACTTATTTTATTGTCTTCTGCCACCTGACGGAAGAGAATTAAATTGCGCTGCCTGTCACATTATGTCGCTGGCATAGATAGATGAACACATTTGTAATGGGTAAAGGAATGATAATTTTGGGACAAATTAAGTGACATTTTATAATTTGCCACGGCACCCCTAACGATGGGTGTGCAGTCAATGGCACCCTAGTCGGGAATCACTAATGTCATCATTTGGTGATACCGCATGAGCTTTACGGAATTCGACACATTATAGATTTTATTAGTCTACATATTTTCAGCCAACGATTCTTGTGTACTTGTACGTTGGTTGTTTTCTGGCACATAAAGTAAATCCAATGCATCTGCATCTGCAAATGTCAGATTTTTTTTTTTTTTTTTTGGGGTGCGGGGTGATTAAGCATCCTGGGGGCGATTGTGCCACTTGATGTCATGTTGCTTGCAAGGCTTTGTGTGGACGTGTTAGACCGAGCCTCGCGATCGTCTGACCTTCTTTATGATTCGAGATGACGTGTTGACATGTTTGATTGCCTCAAGTACTGATCTACAAGTGTAGGTTGTGTCATTAATTTGGTGTATTTTAGGCTATTGGAAAGCTGGTAGCTGTGGAGCCTTTGACATTTTTCTGGTTTAAAAAAAAAACTGAATGGTGATTTCTCTCGACTTTTTTTGTATTTTTATCAGGTCACGTTTATCATTTTTTAAATAAGGCAATTTAACTTCAACACGCATCAAGTAAAGCTTTCCTACTGAACAATGAATGTTGGTGAAATAGACATCATTTTACAATTTGTATTGCTGTCTGTAGCTACAGTATAGCGTCCGTGGTCTGCTGAGTTTGTCGGTTATTCCCGTACAATGTCAGTAGAAGGACGTGCAGCAACAAAGGCTTCAGCAAAAGAGTGTCGACGGCGCCAACTAGCCGAAGCGGTCACAAGCATCGATGTCTTCGTCGCCCGTCTGACATCCCAAGGGTTGAATGTGAGACTAGCTTGAAGTTGGACATCCCCATTGCACAATGGCCAAATGCGCCTATCGGCTCTGATGAATCCCAAGTTGCTTTTTTTGTTTCATCAAAGAATACGCAGACTTCCATCCTGCCATATTACACCGTCCGCTGGCTTGAGGTGAGCTAATTAGCCCGTTGGTTAAACAGATTGTTTAGCGACCCACAGGGAATTACATGCCACTGGAGCTGTGTAACCTCTAAAGTAAATGAGTACACGCTGACTCGACTATAGCTCACCATATCAGACCGAAAAAAGAAAGAGCCTGCGGCAAATGAAGTCATCATTTGGTTCCGTTGGCTGAAACTCGGCTTCTGATGACTGCGGACAGTATTTTTTTTCCCCTTACAGCCCCATCCCCCCCTGTACAATTTTTTTGTTTCAATTTTTTTTTTTTGTAAGATGGTTAAAAAAAATAGTAGTAGTCTGAGCATTTTGCTTTCCAGTAGTGTATTCTTGTGGGGCATTAAGGGTGAGCGTGTCTTGTCAACCATTGTGACCCTGTTCTTGTTTATCTATGATGACAACTACATTCTCAGCATTGTCCCAGAGAGCGCAGACGTTTGCCATTAAGACAAAGCCCCAGAACGAAAACAAGAAACAGCTCTCCCCATGCCCGACTCCTTATCTCTGCTTCATTCCGAAAAACTGAAAAAATATTTCTGCCACAATATTATCTCCTGCCAACCTCTCAGAGCACCAAATGACAACTCATAACACACTGATAAGGTCTAAACTGATGAGGTCAGATAAAGAGTTTGTGTATTATTATTATTATTATGATTATTATTGTTATTAGTGACTGAAGAAATACACTCCTCTCCATAAGTGTTGGAACAGTGGTGCCAATTACTTACATTGAGTTCCTGTTTTTGTTCTGAATTTTACTGAACCCTATTTATCATTATTATTATTATTCTTATTATTATTATTATTGAGTTCCTGTTTTTGTTCTGAATTTTACTGAACCCTATTTATCATTATTATTATTATTCTTATTATTATTATTATTATTATTATTATTATTATTATTATGATTATTATTTGCATCCATGTTATTTGCATTAACAGAGTCCTTATTCCTAAATGGACTGAAACACAAAAGCATTCCCCGGCTAACTATTTCCAGCAAAATGGTCTCCACTCATCTATATTTCAACTTTCTTGCTCTGATCCAATTACTTCTCCCGTCTTCCTCACTCACACACAAAAGAGCGCAAGCTATTGACAAATCTGTGCGTGAAAGTAATATTGGCCTCCAGGGATTCATTTCGATGCACTCTCACTTTTTTAGTCAGCATCCCGTTTTGTTTTAATGAGCATGCTGTACGGCAAGATGCTGTCTCATCTTGACAGAATGGGTTTAAGCGGACTAAAATGGGGCTTGAACATATGCTGCCATCCTAAATTGGGGCTAGTGTCTTTGGGAGTTTACCTCTGTTTCTGCTCTCCATGGTCCGCCCAACTTGTCCTTGTTCCATTTGGTTGTTAATGAATAAATAAAAGCTCCTTTATAGAGTAGTCTGGGTTACTTTAAGGGGTAGCTCCGAGTTTCCAATTTGCCCTTGTTCCTCCACCAGTGTAAACTTACAACATTCTCAGCAGCTCTGAGAGGGTTTTCAACAAAAATATAAAGGTAAAAGATGGGAGTACTCGAGGCGGAATTAACGTGGGGACCCAGAGAGGAGAGAAGACTAAATTCTGTCATTTTTTGCTGTACACGTTCATCACTATCATATCTATGTGTAATTTTCAAACAGCAATCACTCACCCTGACTTCCATGCCCTCTTTTTTCCCATCCCACGCCCAGCTGCGCTTGGTGAAGTAGTTGACTGTGGCAAACTCAATCAAGGCAGAGAAGACAAAGGCATAGCACACTGCCATGAACCAGTCCATGGCTGTGGCATAGGCAACCTTAGGGAGGGAGTTGCGGGCACTTATGCTTAGGGTCGTCATGGTGAGGACGGTGGTGACCCCTGAGGAAAGAATTAAAAAAGAAAAACATCAGGGAAGAGTTCCTACTAAGGGAAACACTCAAATGGGAAAGAATAACATTTATTCTATTTGAAAAAAATTCGTTTGTTGCAATTTTGTCTCCATCAACATTTCATTATCATCAAAAACAATGCCTCCCACCGAGCAGACTTTTTAAAAAAAGATTCACACCCACAAGTATCAGCAATTTAGAGCCTTCACTAACCGCGGTACCTGCACAAAACAAGCAAGGGGAGAAAATGCAAAGCTCCCGAGCTGCAAAAAAAAAAAAACATCAGGGAAGAGTTCCCGAGCTAAGGTTCCGACACAGAACCCTCGACTGTGAGGCAGGCGTGCTCGCCACATGGTCGACAGTTCCACTGGTTACTGTCATTATATTTTGTGATGTTTTATTTTGAAATGTCATCATTCTGGTAACTATAGTCAGCTGTTGTGCCAAATAATGACCAAATATTGTTCCCTGTTCAGAATAATGCATTGCAGATTTAACTGTACTTTATTAAAAAAAACAAAACAAAAAAAAAACATAAAAAATAAAAGTAATTCGCGCATAGGAGCAGCACAACAGCAACAGAAAGGAAGTGGGATTAGAAAATTGCATCCCATCTTTGAGTCTGGGACAGTGATGACAATGTTTGGATTCGATTAGATTGATTATCTGGAGACTGTATAATGTGATCATTGCCACCTATTGAATTAAATCATCCCTGCACATTTGTTTTGCTCTTACCTCACCCTTTCGAAGCCCCATACTCACCCGGCCATCAGCCTCTCAGACTTCAGTTATTATTTAGTGCATTCTGAGTTGCATAAAAAAACAAGATGGCACTCACCAAATACGGTGCGTGCAGGAACCGACTCTCTGTTTAACCAGAAGGACACCTGTGACAGGATGACTGTCATGATGCAGGGAAGGTAGGTTTGGATCACAAAATAGCCAATTTTCCTTTTTAAATGGAAATATGTTGTCATCACTACAAATTCCCCTGAGAAGCGACAGAGAGAGAGAGAGAGCGGAAAAAAGAGAAATGAAGACATAGCAGATCATCATTAAAAACTGTTATATGACATAGTCGGGCAACACAAGCTGACACGCTGCTTCATTAATTCGGGAACATTTCTACATATTCAATGAAGTATATTAATGCCGTGGTTACCATAGCATTCTCACTTCCCTATTTCCCCGTTAGGTACTTAAGAGAAGAAATCTGGCTGACTTTTCTTTTAAAGCCTTGTGAGAGCAAAGCATTTCTTGGCCTGTGCAATGTTTATTAAAGCAATCATTTAACATCCACCTTCACGCTGGCCTTTAGTAGCAACACTTTTCTTCTTTCAACAAGCCTTTGTACTCGGTGTAGCTTACCTTCAAACCACCATACAGCACAACAATAATGATAATTTCAAACAAAAGAGTTCTCAGTAGAATTTCTGACCACCTACAGCACAGCTTTTGCTTCAAGGAAAAACAGGCCAGAGGGCACTGCAAGAAAGTGGTTTCATTGTTAGTTTAGTCTCAAAGCGCCAGTGAAACCTGCCGCAGCTCCGTAACCTAGTGACTTGCCTCCTGAGAGTCACAAGTAGCAAAAAACTTTCCCCATCTTACAATTGTCTGTGACGTTAGGCTTCCATCTATCCATCCATCCCTCCCATTTTTATACCGTTTATCTGACTTATTGTTGGCCCCTTCAGAGCGAGCGCAGATAACAACAGAGTGCCGCCGCAAGGCTTTTTGTCTAGATCCCATTGGTTAAGCTACATAATGCCAATTCTGTTGTCCTTGGAATTGTTAATTTTAGGCTACAATTCAAAACAGAGCCTGATATTGTTTTCTGTTGAAAAAAAAAAGTTCAAAACAATTTTGTTTATGTAGGCATTCCAGTAAGACTTTTTAACTGTATACTGTTCACCATAATCATGTTTACTGTTGATTGTTTATCCACTGATGAACTCTGGGCAAATTTTATGGTCATTCTCCCATTTGTGAGAATCAGTCCTGAGCTCTGAGGCTGGACTCTGAGCCCACTGAAAACTGCAGTATCCTCGATTATAAAAATAGTTTTGCCGTCCTGCAGAGGTTGTCAAAGGGTTGAGGAAGAATTGCACGTTATTGGACGGAAATATGGATTGATTTTTGGATCGCGGAGGAAAATAGAAAGAAATTGGAACTTATTTCCCATCAGCGCAATCCATCTTTGAAGTGTTGACGGTGTGCTCTGCCAGATTTCAACAATCAGTCCCCATCCTGACATTTACAGATTACTGAAATAACACAGAGAAACGTCACGTTTTTTGGCAATCTCGAGCCGCTAACCAGACGGCCTTTAGATTTTAAACACGGTCCACACAAAGCTTTTTACCCTGATGTGGCAGTGACTACTAACCACAGCACCGTGCTAACCAGTGCTGTATATTCCTTACATTCTCTGCACTGTACCTGTACTGGAACTTATGGTTTCTTTGCCAATAACGTGTCCCAGTAGGTCATACTGGTTGAGCCTGGAACCATCCTCAGCCACAGAAACAGAGCGCTCATCCTCTTGTGTCCAGAGGTAAATCACCTCATTGTTGGTGTAAGCATCTGGGAAGCAGATGAGAGTCAAGAGACAGACGGCTGACTTTAGTTTGTTTTTCAAATGGACTTGAATGTGAAAACACCCAGATAGTCCGCACACTGTATACTGACTGCAATAGCTTTTGCTGTGAGTGTAACTTACAGCTTCCAAATTTCAGGGGACAGGCGTGCGCATCCATGGGGAAGTCCTCCAGGTGCATGGGGCATTCGGCGTGAATGGTCAACCTTGTAGGACGAAGGATGGGGGGTGATGGCAGGAAGGGTGAAGTCGAGAGGGGTTGAGAAGATACGCACTCGTCAATATACAATGTCTGCTGTGCATTTTTATGGTCACTTTTATTTGTCAACCTTAAGTTTAATGGGAATCAATATAAACAAGTCAATGCGCTATTTACTGATTACACACACTGGCAAGACTTGTAACGCTGTGTCAGGAATGTGTCAATCCGTTTATGGAACAATTCATCAAAGTAAACAATCCTTATAAAATAAAGCATCCCACGTTTTAGTTTTTAGAAGCGGTGTTGGCTTCAATCAAGTTTGCATTAAATGAGTGTTAAATCATTGTTTTTGGAACAAACGTACCGGTAGTGTATATTTGATTAAAAATACACAATCGCCCCTCGCTGTATTGGGATGCACTTATTCATTGCATCATGGATTTGTTTTATCGGATAGTACAGTACGGTACAGTACATTACAATACAGCACAGCACAGTGCTGGACAATTACTCAGCTGCACTTTTCAAGTAAAAGTAAACATTGCTTGCTAATTGAATATAGCCTATCACCACCAGATATAATGAATTGGAATCTAGGAAGTACAGAGAGGGCAGATGGAGACAGCCACTGTTGCTGTTTTGAATTCGCATTATGAATCAAATAGTAACAAAATACAGCAATCAAAAGGTAACCTCAAATGGCACCGTCACCATATACCACAGTGGCTAATGCAGCCAGGAAATAGCCAAGATGTAGTAAATCCCTAACGCTCACTTCCACATCATTCAGACTACAGGCGCATTCTTTACCATGATGTAGAAGAATGTGTGAATGACAACCACACGTGGACAAAGAGAATAACTAAACCTCACATTCATATACTGTAAGAATTGATGTCGATGAAGCCAATGCTTTATATATATGTAAACATAGCGTCTTACCTCATCGTGTAGAGAAGTGTGCCATTGTCAACTAGTCGCAGAAGTTTGTTTGGGGTTGTCATGTTGTGGGCCACAGACTTCTTTCCATTGTGAAAAAATGTGTCAGGTGTCCAGATCTTACTGGCAAGGAGGTTGTTGAGGGGCAACACCTGCATGGGCCCGTCAAATTTCAGTCTCTCATCTCTCCAACTCTGACGGAAAAATACATCGATGGTGTACTCCTGTGGGGAGCGGAGAGTAAAGATTTAATCAGGCGAAGCATTCAACTGAAGTGAGACAATCGCTGGTCTGGCACGGATTCTTGAGAGATACAGTACAAGGTACAGTGTCACACGCAGCCAGGTTATTGCCATAGCAACGATGGAGACACCATTTTGTTTATTGCAAGGCCGTTGCAAAGGATTTTGATATGGTTATTTAATAACAATACCGATAACGGATACCTTCTTGCTTTTCCAAACTGATACCGATCAGGAATGCCCCACCCCGACCCAATAACATTTGCTGGCCTCGCCATGTTCATGTGATACATCACTCAGCAGAGGCTTGACACATGATCTTCTTAAAATGACAATAACCTGACCAATGTTGGTGTATCTGAAGCGTCCTTTATCGGTCAAGTTTGTTGCGGTGCACACTGATGAATGTAACGTCATATTTTTTCGATGGCGGTGGCTGCTTAGCTTGCCCAAGTTTTCAGTATTGCCCTGGTGGTCATTTGATTCATTACAAGTTGCTCTTCACCTTATGCTCCACACGTTGCAGTTCTTTTTTTTGGGGGGGGGGGCAAACAATTTATGTCTGAATGTGTTGGTGAATATAATTTCCAAATAAAATAAGAACAAAGTAGGACAGAGCCACTGGAAATGGCAATGTATTTCATGTTCCATCTAAAGGAGTTGGTGTCCTGGCAACAGAGCCGCTCATTAGCTGTGTATAGCAGCTGTGCAGACGGGAGATCGATAATTTAGCTTTTTCTGGTACATTCAAAGGCTTCTTGGTGAGCAATGATGCGGAACTGACTACTCCGTGGGTAAAAATCAAAAAACACGGCCATCATTTCCAAGTGGCTTCAAAACAAGGCCGTCCTCAGCAGGGGGATTTGGAAAGCCTCTACTCAACACATCAGAATGGCCTCTCTAAACAGTGCGGGATGGATGTTAATTGCTGTGCCTGACCTTGCGTCGCCCTGCCAACCAATTTAAAACGGTTACACTGCTTTGTCTCATACCGAGCCTTTAAAATAACACGTTCATGAATTTGGTGTTACGAGCCAAGTGAAGAAAAAAGAACAGTGTGATAAATGTTGGCTTTAAACCTTCAATCCATTTTTTTTTTTTTTGCAATCACTTCATGTATACCTATAAAAAGCAAACGTAATCCATCAATTATTATGATAATAACATCAGATTAAGATAAGGGTTGTTGGCCCAGCGCAAACAAGCGATGGCTACAGGCCAGCAGAAACAGATGAGCACACGCTGACACCAGAGGGCAGTTGTGCTAATGATTTTTTCTAGATTCTTTCTAGATTAAATTATTTTCAATTACAAAAGTTTTTTTTTCCCCTACGTCTGCAAATCATGAGGCATGAATCTTGAAAAAAAATTATTTGGACTAGTATGCATAAGTACTGTGTAACTTGTCTAAACCCAATTGCAATCACACTAACTTGCAGTTATTACAGTATCTCGAAAAGGTAACATTCGTCACCGTGTCTCTTTGAATAAATTGACAACCCCCCCCGTTTCACTTGTAACTTCCCTTCCCTGTTAGGCTATTTTTCTCACAGCTCACGGAGGTTGATAATCTGCCAGCTTTCCCACCCCCCCCCATTCAATTCAGCTATGATTCCAGAACTGGGCCAACCACATAAAACAACATTCCCTTTCGCCTGCCTGTCAATGCGAGCTTTCAGTTTTGCATTCGTACATATATTTACATAATAGCACACGTTCGATCAAAAACGGAATTTATTTGGTGCCGTGCCCTCTGTAGAAATGATTGAAGTTCTGAAAGTATTAATAAGACTTCTCCATGGCCCTGCCAATCCATACAGAGTATTCAATAAGAATTAAACAGATCGGTCAAGCCGTTTTCAACCATTTTAAAAGCTGACATTTTATCCAGCGCTACTTCCTACCGTCAAATTAAATTGAACGAAAAGTAACGTCGGGATTGCTCTGCGAAAACATTTTGTGAGTCTTATCCTGTTACAGAATTAACCGAGGATTGCCTAATTGTTCATTTGCGCCTTTCTAGTCTTCTCATGCACCTTTTATTATGTTGCTGTTTGTTTATTAGCTTCTATCATCTTTTAGTTTGCAGAGAGCCAGTTCACACGTGTGCAATAAATCGTTTTGGCAGCTTGCCTTAATGAAAATGCACGTATGCTTTTTTTTTATTTTTTTTATTGTGTGAACCTGCCACCCACATTTACAGCCCCTGGACCTAGCAACTCTAATCTGATAGTTATATTGCTACAACTTGCTCTCCACCCTCCATATCTTGCACCTCTGCTACCTAAGAGGCAATACCTACATTTATTGGATTTTTGATTGTTGCCTGCTTCTTGTCAGACTTGTTTTGCAGTTTGGTCTGCCTTTTCTACAGGCGTAATGCACGCCTGTCAGGTATTACTCCCCGGTTTTGATGGAAAAATAAAACATCTCCAAAATCGCACCTCACTCAGTCTCTTATATTTGGGTTCAAAAAGAGGTTCAAAAGCCAAAGCGTCATTTAATGCACACTGCAAGGTATTTCCACTGTAACATTTGGAGTTTGCATGTTCTCCCTGGGCCTGTGTGGGTTTTCTCCGGGTACTCCGGTTTCCTCCCACATTCTAAAAACATGCATGGCAGGCTGATTTAACACTCAAAATTCTCCCTAGGTGTGAGTGTGAGTGCGGATGGTTGTTCGTCTCTGTGTGCCCTGTCATTGGCTGGCAACGGGTTCAGGGTGTCTCCCGCCTACTGCCCGAAAAAACGGCTGGGATAGGCTCCAGCACGCCCCGCGACCCTTGTGAAGATAAAGCGTTTCAAAAAATGGATGGATGGATTTGAATGTCTTTGTCAATAGATGGGTGTAGATAGTCAGCCTCCTTTCTCTTTTTAATACAGGCAAAAAGTGAGTTTACGGTAAAGGAAAATACGGTAATGCAAATGTATTGTTCGGTGTAAAATGACAACTTGACACAGCACTGTTTATCTGCGTTAATGAACTCATGGGGCAGTTGTGATTTACTGCCCAGAAAAGATCTGTTGTCCCTAGAACTCATTGTGCACTGTTATTGGTGAAATATGTGACAATGTCGTCTTCTTGACAATACGCAGCAGGCCAGAGATGACATTCGCCAGCGTGATAATGACACACACCACTTCCTTGAGGCAGCACATCCGTTATCTCCCTTCCTTTGAGCGTCACCGATGATTAGTCAAAGATTTGATTGATGTCAGGTGGTCAATCTCGACTTTCTGCCGCAGCTAATTCTCTCGCTGAATTCATCTTTCCCCCGCCGAGTGTGAAACCTGTGTGCGAGTCGCAACTAATTGTGAAACGCCTTCCAACTGCAATTATCTTCAGTGTTCATCTTTCTGCTCTGAGGCGTAAACACATTTAGCACTTCACTGTGTTCAGCCAAAGGCGCGTTTTGCTCCACAAATATAATCACAACGCAGTAAACAAATGAAGGACAATGTCCATAACGGCATCTCCTAAAACTTGTTGTCATGAATAACCGTAAAAGTAAACACATCCTGTTTGGTTTGATCACTCTTTTATGACTTCTCCAGTTGGTCCTACTTAGTCATAACATGCTTTGGTTAGATTGCAAAATAGAACTGCATCATATAAATTAGGTTCAATATCACACACAAGAATGAGGGCGTCATGTTCTACTATCTGCGTGTACTTCCGCAATAATTTAAAAAAAAATAAAAATAAAAATACCCTAACAATCAGGAATTCTACAGAATTCCATTTTTTAATCCTTGCAAAACTACCTTTTTGAGGGAAAAAAAAACGTACTGCAGCATGTAAAGCCTTTAGTTCCGTCATTAATTTAATGCTCGGTTCATTTTGAAATTTTATGCACACCAACTTTTCTATTAATTCTGAGAAGTCCTTGAACCGCTCAGGGAGTCTGAAGCGGAATGTTGATCATAAAAGTGAGAGCAACATTTTCTGTGCTCCAGGAAAAAAAAAAAAACCCCAACTGAACAGAGCAAAGTATTATTGATGATTCCTGCACATGGGCTAAAAGGAGAAAAGGGGCTGACTATCAACACCAATCGATTGACAAAGACATTCAAATGTAATGCAAGTTCAGATTTAGAAATGAATGATGGTCTTTTGGTTGCATCAATATTCTGTTACGCATTTTCCTGTCATTACCCCGCCGCCTGATTAGCCTCCAATCGTTTTTGTTGAAAAATACAAACAAACCCAAAAAACTTTTAAGCCTTTTACCAGCTGAAAAAATATATCCAAACTGAAGAGTTGGATGCTCTCAGCAGAACAGGAGACATTTATCTATGCTTTTATCTCCCGCAGACTTGATTTTTATTTAAAAAAAAAAAAAAACATCAAATAGCTGCAAAAATGAAGTCAGCCCCAAGAGTAAATGCTATTAAATCCAGGATAAAAACCATTATTTTTTCCTGATACCTTTGATTAAGGTATTTTGAACATCACAATCAATTTCACTGTCAGTAATTTTAGAAAGCTACTTTTCATGTCTTTACTGTGTTTTTGATTGCCTGTAAGACTTGTCTGTAAATGTGTTTAATTGTTGTCAATGTACGTGTAGTTCTTAGTAAGCTACGTTTCTTCTCTCGTCTTTGGCTTTTGAATGTCGATAGCTGGTTGTTTGTATCAGCATTTACATGCTGTGGTTTTGCTTGTGTGAAGCACATTAAGTTGTCTTGTGTATGAAACATGCTATATAAGTAAAGCTGCCTTGCTAACTGTACCTGAAGGGTAGAATTAGACATCTGGAGACTGGCGAAATTGACAGAGAATTGCTCCACCCCCCCCAGCGTGCTGTTCGAAATGTATTGGTTTGTCTATGCCACTCCGCATTTCCATTTGGTTGTCCGTCTATTTGGTAGTTAGCAAAGCATACAGTAAATGGGCGTCGTCTATTTGAAAATGTTCAACGCGATTGAGTCTGCTTCCACTGGTCTCCTTTCTTGTCAAACGGACAACAATTCAAAATCGATACCACTCATGTTTATTTCTTAGTGGTCGGTAAAGTTTAATGTTGCTTTTCCATCAAAGTTGGCGCTAGAGGGGTCAGAAAAGTTGCAACACTGACTCAACAATGACTGGCACTGTACGGCAACTATGAAAAAAAAAAAAAAAAAAAGACTTTTCCGGATCATTTTAGTCAGTCACAACGCAATTTTAAATTATATGATTTGGCCCAACAGAGAAGGGAGATAATATTAATGTTAATATACTCAGCATGCATCAACAT